GTTTCAACAAATCATCTTCTTTCTCTAATAATTACTGAAAGGTCAAAGCTTCCGCGTTTTGCGCGGGAGGTGGGAGGAACTGAATTCAGACAATAAGGATTAGGAGTAGAGATTGGTACAACGAATCATCTTATTTCTCTAATAATGTCATTAAACTATGAAAGTTCAAAGCTTCCGCGCTTCGCGCGGGAGAGGGAAAACTGAGTTCAGACAAGGATTAAGAGTCAAAAATGGTACAACGAATCGTCTTCTTTCTCTAATAATTTAATGAAACGTTAAGCGTCTGCACTTTGCGCGGGAGAGGGGAAAATGAATTCAGAGAAGGATTAAGAGTCGAAAATGGTATAACGAATCATCTTCTTTCTCTAATAATTAATGAAAGGTCAAAGCTTCCGCGTTTTGCGCGGGAGGGGGGGGGGGGAGGAACTGAATTCAGACAATTAGGATTAAGAGTCGAGAATGGTACAACGAATCCTCTTCTTTCTCTAATAATTTCCTGAAACATCAAAGCTTCTGCGCTTCGTGCGTAATGGGTGGTGGTAGGGGGGGGCAGCGACCTGCCCGAATATGAATTTTGATATCTTTTCTCGTTTATTTTGGTGATAAATAACACTTCCACAAAATACATATTATGCTCAAATTTTTTCTCGCTCGTTTCGCTCACTAACCGAATTGTGAAACAAAAAAATACCTTTTCGGGCAAGATGGCTTTAGCCCCCCCCCCCTTCCCCCGATGAAAATGTCAAAAATTGGGTATGGTGCTTCTTATATGACCTTGTCAGTATTGGTATGTTGAGTTGAAAAAACGGTCTGCGCAATTTTCTATTTCCGGCCCCCTCTATTGGAAAATCCTGGATCCGCGCCTGTTCTAGACTCCACGGTAACGACCAGAGAATGTCTAGAAGGGTTTCCTTGCATAATTTGAATACTAGCACGCTGCTAACGTTTACATTTCACAGATAGGACATACATGAAATATTCATAATTCCAGCAAAGCTCTACAGAATTTGATGTTGGCTGCAAAAGGGACATAGTATCTGTGTGAAGCTAAATATCCTGCAGCCGGATACAATGTTAATTTTGTGTGGCAACAACAGCATGTCTCTGGCTAATATTTCTTGGAATGTATCATGTTTATTACCGGATGTCATAATTTATGTGTATATTAAGCATAATAGTCTTCTGCCAAAATTGATATGAAAAAGCGAGAACCATTCATTAGTCGTTGCTATGCATGGAAGCTTGTTGATAATAAATACAATTATTTCACTGTATCCTATCTGGTTTCTGCTGAATGAAAAAAAAATGGGGAAATTGTGTGTAATACTGTAAAAGTGGAAACACGTTTGTCCTTTGGTCTGATGTATCGTTGAATTTGGTTACCATAGAAACTGGCATATGCCATAATTTACGGTTTCAAGATCAACAGGTGGAGAGGCGCACCCTGTGATTTATTCAGCTCCGCATATACTTGTGGAGAGAAGCGAGGGGGCCTCCCTACCCCCCCCCCTCCGATTTGTTGCGGAAAAGAAAATCATGTTATATTTTAAATGTTTACAATTAATCCAACACCTAACCCTTAATCTTTAACCCTTTCCCCACCTCTGCTGATGGTTGTTTCTAAGGTTGCAAATCATATTGGGGGGGGGGGGGGGGCGGGGTGATGTCGATAAGAATAGTGGTGTATAACACCCTCCCCCTCCTTTCTTCTGACTATCTTGGAACTGCCCTTTACTCTGTATGGAGTACATTATTTAGTTCCATATAGTATAATATAAATTTGGGGAGGAGGAGCACAAGCAGGTCATGCCCATAACAAAAAAACATATCAAAGACATTATATTAGGTGCACGTCAGAAAGATTGCCCCTTAACTGTGTAATTCTTCGGAATTGCGCCCCCACCATGCATGAGTGTTTTGAAATTAGTATCGCTTATCATCAGACGAGTTTATCATATCATTGACGGTTGTTCCCAAATGAAAGTGACAACAAAAACCCGAAGAGATCAGAAGGTCACCTAAATTCGTCATAACAATAAATCACTAATATACTTTGACAGTTAGTGGCGTAGCGTGCTGTCCTGGCATCATGAGGGGCGGCTGGGGAGTAGAGGGGCCACCTGACTCACTCGAACGCTGATTTACAAGGTGTCTTAAAGCCCCATTGCGCTAGTTTGGCCAGGAGGGATTAGACCTCCTTGCATGCTCACTGACAGGTCGTTAATTATCTCATCAAATCAGCTCTCAATTAACATAAGAAAAAGAGGATCATGGGGGACCAATGGTCACCGGTTAGGCATTGTTTGCTACATAGAGGGCGCAAGAAGCTATAAGTAGTGCAGTGGGGCTTTAATAAGGGTGTGGAAGGGAGTCATGTACATTGTAGCCTTCCTTTCTTGTCCTTTGTCATTTCTCTCATTTTCTCTATTTTAATATTTAGTATTTTTCCTCCCCCCTATCATTCGATTCGGGGCGCACCCCATGTGTCATCTTCATCAGTACGCAACTATAATCTGACGTGAAATATAAAGTGGGTTACGTTTTAGAAATTGACCTCTGACATGAAGACGTGTATGACCTCTGATCACGCTGATGACCCCAATTTAAATGGTTTCTGATTCTTAAACCGTTTTTATTCTCTGCCTCTATCTCTATACACCTTCTATTCTCATTTATTGTTTTCACTAGAGATGTAGAGATGTCAAAATAAAACTGAAAGCTAACATAAATTGGACATAAAGCGGACATTTTTTTTTTTTTTTTTGGAGTCCCGAAAAAAAAATCGCAACGACTCAGCCAGCCGAAAAGTCGCTCAGTGGGGGGGGGGGGGGGGGGGGGGGTCCTCGAAAATTTTAAAATTTGCACCCCCCCCCCCCCCTTGAACGCAAGGGGGGGGGCCCAACCCCCAAAACAGGTAAAAATCGCGTGATTTTGCATGATTTTTTTCTCAAGGGGGGGGGGGGGGCCGGCCCCCCCCCCTGGATCCACTGCCCCCCAAGAAAATCAACACAACTTATAGGCCCCTATTATAGATTTAAGATATGTGTGGTTGCCCGTATTGGCCTCAATGTACATCCAACTCTTCCTCCCCACCGTCTAGGATTGTACACCCCCCCCCTTATTGTCTATGAATATAAGGGATAAATGATATATTATTATAATTGACAAATCCAGGAATACATACCTTCACGCAATCTACGGTCATCTTCACAAATAATTAAACCCCGTGTCTACTTCGGTGTCAACTCTTTCTTATTATATGGTCATCACTCTTTTTTGCAAAGATTCTGCTGAACTTTGGAGCAAACTACCTATAAAGGACAAGTCCACTCGAATTTTTTAGATGTACCGGTAAGCTTTAAAGCCCCACTGTCCTACTTGTAGCTATACTTGCTCCCTCTATATAGAAAACTTCCCCAATCGGTGCCTGTTGGTCCCCATGATCCTCTTTTTCTTATGTTAGTTGAAAGCCGAGTTAATGAGATAGCCACCTGTCAGTGACCTCACTGTGTGGTCTAATTCGTTCTGGCCCAGTAGTAATGACGGCCTTTAAATGTTAAAAAACTGTCAGACTGCTATCCAATTCAGAAATTGTCTTAAGACACATTAATTCAAAATTGCTTTTAATGATTAACTTACTCTCTTCACATTGATGTTTATTTCATATGTATTTTAATTTGTAGGTTTATTTGCATTTTTTGTTTTGTGCTGTTTAATATATATTTGAATGATTGTATTTTTGCGTAGTATATTGAGAAAGCGATATATATGCGACTTTATCTTCCCCTTTCTAGTCATCGAAGCATTCCCCTCCCAACTTTATCTATAGCCACCTTACTCCAATATGGCTAGTCCCCATTCTCTCATTCCATCTGACCTCTACATCCACATTCCATCCCTCACCTCTCTGACCTCTCTCTCTCATAAACCACTATTACGTAAGCCCACATGTACTGCGTACATGCATAAGAAGATGTATTGACCATGCACCAATAAAGTGCAGACGTGTCTGTTTTGTGTACCATAAGTTAGCACACTTAACAGTATGTTATAGCGCTTGGAGACTTCGGTGGTAAGCGCTTTATAACACCGTTTTTTTATGTTATTATTTGTTTAAGGCCCACTGTACTACTTGTAGCTACTTGCGCCCTCTATATAACAAACAATGCCTAATCGGTGACCATTGGTCCCCCATGACCCTCTCATTTCTTATGTTATATGAGAGCTGAGTTGATGAGATAACCACCTGTCCAGTGACCTTGCAGTGTGGTCTAATCCCTCCTTTACACTGATGAGCTGTAATATAATAGTCCTACAGCAGGTTAAATAAGTACAAGTTAGAATCAATGCTAGTCCTTGATTTGTTTATGATGAGCAGATCCAGCGGTTACTGCACTCCGTTTGACATGCCCTATTCATACCGCAAAGGTGTGGCCTATTGAACAATAGACAGTGCGAATAGATACGTTTCGGCTATTCAGGGACTCGATAGACATCCCTGGGCTATTCAAGCGATATTAACCAGTACTCTTTATCAAGGTTCATGGTCACACCATTTGTGATATGTCTCATCCATACTGAGCCCGATTCAGCGGCTGTTAGCGAAGATACCGAAGCCATAACTGAGGTGCGAACGTACTATTTTGCACTCTACGCTTTGCGTGCCGACTTATACTAGTATTATGAATGAAAACAGACCTGTTTTTTCCGCAGTGCCTCAATCATCTCTTGATTTTCCAGGCTGACTCAGGCAGAAAGGTGATAAAATAACCGGAAACCATTTTTAAAAAAAAAACTCTACGATCAGCACTCTATAGCGGTTGCTGAGACGAGGGCAAAATAGTCATAGCTCGCATTCAGTTGTGTCCTCGGAACCCATGACAGGTACAAACAGAGTGGCTTTTATTGGTGAGAATGTTTTGTTTCGACATACTGAAACGGACGTTTTAATGTCATTTGGGCATGATTCATTCATATGTTGTTTTTTTCTCGTTCAACAGGTGTCCGTTCTTCTGACAGTCACTGATCAGTCACGACAGACTGAGGAAAATCATCTAGTGAACATTTTTAGGGTTTGAACATAACTTCCTGACTAATCACAAGAGAGTGGCATCATCTTCTTACCAAGCACACCCGAGATACGTCATCTCCTAACCAATCACATCAGAGGGACATCATCTACTAACCATTCACAGAAGCCGAACATCATCTTCTGACCAATCAGAACACAGGACAATCGTCGACTGACCAATCAGAACAAAGGAGCCTACCGCTGATGCTATGGATGAGCCAAATGGACTGAAGAAGAATGGAGTTATTGAACTTGCTAGTCATTCGGGGGTAAGTTTTCCTATTAGTTTGTTCTTCTTATTTAAAGGGGAATTTTCACGGAAATATCTTCTTCTATTTGTTAGAGGTTCTATATGCCCGTATAATATTGACAAATACAGTGAGTGGGAAGGAAATTGCGCCTAGAAATACGTAAATTTTCTTTACTATACAAGAATTTTTGCGAACAACCTTGAACATTTAAAAGAACTCTGAAACTTGTTTTCACTAAAACATGACAATGGTTTAATCCTGCATCTATATAGAATGTCTCTAGGCAAACGAGTGTTGTTGAATTTATTTTAGCAACAACTTGCCTCTTCTATAATTTCAGTGACTTCTTCTTCTTCGTTAAAGGTACTATGTCCCTTTTGCAGCCAACCTCAAATGCTGTATAACTTTGCAGGAATTATGAATATGTCATGTATGTCCTATCTGTGAAATTTAAACGTTAGCAGTGTCCTCATATTCAAATTATGCAAGGACACCCGTTTACTTGCTAGACTTCACTGTCAGACACTATTGAGTGACTGACTGGCTTTTTTCTTCTTTGGTAATAACATACATGAAAAGAGTTGTAAAGGGTACATGAGCATTTGTCTAAATCAATAACCCACTTCTTGTGATGGCCAAGATTAAACTGATTGAATCTTTGCACAGCATAAAACGTATGACCATTCGGTACAATTGTCTGAAAATCAAGACTATTACTTTTGGGCTCTATAGCCCTAAAGTCGATTTGACAACTAATAGTCGTTATTTTCCCACTTGAAGACATTTTCAAGCCCCACCTTTTTTAGGGAAGTTCTAAATTAGTATTATCTTTCAAATGCAGTTGGAATTTAACTTTTTCATTTTTTTGGCCTGCAAATGGGACATAGTACCTTTAAGTGCCAAATCATGAGACGTTGGCGACCATGGAATATGCCACAACTCTCTGTCCCATATTCTATGAAGTAATTCATTCTCCCGAGATCAATTCCACGTTCAGAAATCCCACTCTTTAAGTTACTCATCCACAGAATCCTCCTTCTACCCCTACTCCTCCTCCCCTCGATTCTTCCAGTCAGTGCAAGATTTTCCAAACCATTCTTCCGAATAACATGACCCAAGAAGAGAAGGTCAGCTGGCGACATCTTATATAATTTAGAAGCTTTCGTCTTGTGACTATTGAAATCATATTTAAACCCACTCTCGGCATGCAATGAACAGGAAGGGACAGCATCAACTGCCATTTTCAGAGAAATTTCAACCGCTGTTCGTTTCAATCGTTTGGTGTCGCGGCCATTTGAATTTATATCATGAAATATTCTCTCATTCTAAAATGTTCCGCTACACATTGGGTTTACTTCTGTTCGTGTTTTTGATATTCTCTTTCAACAATATATATGTTTCGTATGTGAAATAGATACAGATAGTTTATTTGTTTTAATGTCCTAATTCTGCAGTAAAGAAAACATTGAGGATACCTTGTTAAGCTCTTTGTAGTAGTAACAGAAATATAGTTTGAATGCTGTCATATTTGTTCTATTTCTTTTGAGCCAAAACGGGTAAAATAAAAATTGACCAGTTAGCGCTCTATACTCTCTCTCCAGTAAAACAAAAACAAGTTAAATGGGCACTTTAAAGATATTATGTCCCTTTTGCAGCCAACCTCAAATTCTGTAGAACTTTGCAGGAATTATGAATATGTCATGTATATCCTATCTGTGAAATGTAAACGTTAGCAGTGTCCTTATATTCAAATTATGCAAGGAAACCCGTTTACTTGCTAGACTTCACTGTCAGACACTATTGTCAGTATTGAGTGACTGACTGGCTTTTTCTTCTTCTTTGGTAATAACATACATAAATGAGCTGTAAAGGATTTGTCTAGTACAATAACCCACTTCTTGTAATGGCCAAAATTAAACTGATTGAATCTTTGCGCAGCATGAAACATACGACCATGCGGTACAATGGTCTGAAAATCAAGACTATTACTTATTGGCTCTATAGCTCCTAAGTCGATTTGACAACCAATAGTCGTTATTTTCCCACTTAAAGACATTTTCCAAGCCCCATTTTTTAAGGGGAGTTCTAAATTAGTATTATCTTTCAAATGCCACTGGAATTTAACCTTTTCATTTTTTGGCCTGCAAAAGGGACATATAGTACTTTTAAACTGTGAAATTCCAAATTCAAATACCATTAGATTTTTAAATCGTATTCTTCTTCCCTATGATACCGTCATAACATCGTTGCATATAACGAACCTGTATACACTGGAATTTAAGTGGGTTAAGGTCGTTTCCTATCCAGAGTTCATTCCAACTTTGCAACCTGGATCTGTTCCCATTCCAATTCCCCGAAACCCTGAATGATTTCCCCTATTGATTGATTTATGATGACTTTGTTTAGCCTTTTAAATTCTTTCTTTCTTTCTTTTACATTCTGCTTTAAAGGCACACTGTCCTACTTGTAGCTACTTGCTCCCTCTATATAGAAAACTTCCCAAATCGGTGCCTGTTGGTCCCCCATGATCCTCTTTTTCTTATGTTAAATGAGAGCTGAGTTAATGAGATAGCCACCTGTCACAGTGACCTCGTTGGCTCGCTGTGTGGTCTAATCCCTTCTAGCTGCAGTATTCCTCTTGTAGAAATAAAAGGATGAATCTGTTTTGTATTGTGTGTATATTTAATAGTTCCAAATGTGGCTATATGTGTGTGTATGTGGGGGGGGGGGTAAAGTGTCCATTATCCACTTTTAAGACTCCCCCCCCCCCGCAGGATTTCAGATATCATATTCGTGGGGAATATTATTATCTACTGGAATAATTTCGTCCACCCTGATTTGACAGTAATACTAGATCCTCCCCTGTATTCATCATTGACATGTATGCATGGTGACCCCCAAAATAGCAGTTTGAAATAGTCACATAATTTGCAAGTCCAGGTTTGTCGTTGCCCCGTACGTTACCAAGTACTGTTTTGTTACCAAAAACAAATGCATTCAAGTCTACTATTTTATTTCACATTTCGTCGGTTCTGAGCCATTTAAGAATATCAGTTAACGCCCCTTTGGCTCCAAAAGACGACTTGTTCTGGCCCAAGCTCTATATATCTATATAGACACTGTTGCCAATTCTATGGATATAGTTGGAATATATTTATTCTTTTAAACCTCCTTTCATGAAGTTATGAGAAAATGATTTATTATTGGTAGATAAAGTTGACATCTGCTCAGAATGTTATCATGGTAATCAATCAATCTAAATTATGAAAAAAACAATAAAGTTCAGAGAAGATGTCTTTAATTAATCTATCAAGCATAAATCATATACATGTAGTCACAATAATTTCATCAAAAAACATTTGAGCTTTATGCGCAGCAGTGTATTATTCTACTAGATATATTTGGTCTGAGCATGGACCTAGGCCCAAGCTCCAGTAGAAGCTATGTTTTCCCGCCCCCCCCCCCCCACTCAGTGTTATTTAGGGTACGCATTTGCGTGTTTCCAGCACCCCCCCCCCCCTACTTCGGTCATTAGCCATACGTTTCAGCATTTCATATCTTGATGCTCCACGTTCCGCAATCAAATCATCTAGAAAGCCTTTACGAGGTCTTCTCCTCAACTTCTTTTCATGTAATCTGAGATGCGGTTGGTTATATCCTGGGACCCGTTTCACAAAGCCTTTTTTCAATGACAAATGACAAATATCAGTGACAAATATGCTGATAACCAATCAGAAGCAAGGATAACAACAACTGTCATTTGTCACTGATGACAAGTGTTGTGAAACGCCCCCTGGACCTAAACTTGCCTATGCATACTTCTCTTACCTTGCCTATATAGGACAAGCATCATGCCGAGAGTGCAGATGAGGCGGCCGCTGACATGATAAAACCGAAGGATAAACATGGTAACGGGGATGTTGAGTCGGGTGTCGCGGAGTTTGGAGATGACGACCCCACCCCGGGATCCCACCAGGAGGAAGCCGATGCGATCCTCACCAAACTAAAGGGGGAGCTCAGCTACGGGATAGACGATGTGCCAGCCTGGTATACCGCTTTTTTGCTTGGTTTTCAGGTAAATTTGGATGAAATCCTTTTTCTACTCCGGTCGCATAAAACGAGTTTTGGTATGGTGTAAACGCTGATGATCTTTTTGACTTTTTTTTAAAATCCAAAAATCCCGTGGTGGTAATCGAGGATAAAGTTTCTAGTAGGAGAAGATGTCGGGGGAGGCTCTCGGGAGGGGTGGGGGGGGGGGGGGGGGGGGGGGGAGGAGGAGGTGGGGCTATATCTTAACAATTTCCTAAAGGATTTTTTTCTTCGGATTTGCCATCGACCTAAACATAGCTTTGATGACAAAAAAATAGTATGGATTATGGTGATGGTGAGAGGAGGGTGGGGTGGGGGGGGGGGGGGGTTCCCATCCTGAGAAATCTCCCCTAGTTTCCCTAAAATGGACACTATCCATCTATGTTTAATATAATATGTGAATAATTATCTGATCAAAGCGAATGAACTGTTTTAATCTTTAAAAAAACGAAAACTGAACGAAATTACAATCTACTCTCCGACGCACCCTTGTACCAGCTTAAATGGAAATTTAGTTCAGTCTTATTAACTACCGCAGGAGACATGTTAAAATAATTTAATCGTGCATTTAATACTTCTATCAATCCAGCACTACCTAACGATGGTTGGTGCGACGGTCGCTGTCCCACTCTTTCTCAAAGGAGGGCTGTGTATCAGTGACGATTACGTCACCCAAGCCGAACTCATCGCCACCATGTTCTTCGTTTCTGGGATAGCTACTCTACTCCAGACAACTTTTGGTTGTCGGTAAGTACGCCTCAAAAGGGGGTTACCCGTTTCCCCAAAAGATTCTTCTTCTTTTTCTTTTTTTTTCTTCTTTTTTCTTTTCATAATGCCGAAAAAACAAATTTCCCAAACGAGAGAGGGCATCATACTTATACCGAAATCAGAGCCATCTATACACAGAGTTCGGTCAGCTTGGTTTCACTGGGTCACTTGTTCACTTGTTTTGAGCTTGCCCAAGCAGTAATCGCCATATTGTGTCCAACTCGAACCGGGTTGGCCAAACTCTCCTTATCAATGACACTGACCGAAATGAAATAGGATTCGTTTTTCCGAAGGTCAGTAACTCCGGAAATAATACAGAGCTTTATTTAATTTTTTCCCGGAATTGTGAACCATCGGATTTATGACCTCTATTTCATTTCCGGAATAATGAACCTTTGGCAAAGCGAACCTTCGGAATAACGACACTTTGGAATATAAATACAACCTTCAGAAAAAAAAGAATCTTCGGAATAAATGCATGTAACGGCCTAAACCCTTCATAGGATGCAGTAAGGGCAGAGACGGCTAGAAACCATGGAATGAGGGCAGAAGGGGGGGGGGGGGCTAATGTTCGAATTTGCCGACTATAGTTAACCGACTGAGGGTCAAAATTTACGATGAACATGAAAAAGACAACTAGGGCGGGGCACATTTTAAAACAGTGCTAACGAGGAAGAAGTTTTGATGACAAGATCAAAAGGACTTCCAAGGGAACAACTTAATTTCAATTTCGTAACCCCCATTGTAATGCCTATGGCGTTCATGTTGATTGGGATTATGTAATATGAATCGACCAGTTCACACGTCTCCATAAGCTTGATGTATTTTCGATCGTGTCAACATTAGAAAGCCACGAGCATGCAAATGTAAATTGTATCAATATCGAGTGTTTCCCTTTTCTAAATCTGTAAATTTGCTTACACTCTAAAGTAATCATTATTTAAAAATGATGATATTCGTCTTTTGTTCTGTTCACTCTCTACAGACTACCAATTGTCCAGGGCGGAACTTTCTCTTTCTTAGCACCCACATTTGCCATCTTGAGTGTGAAAGGGGCTTGTCCACCGTCTCCCTCTGGTAAGATATTAGTAGGCACATTCTAACCCTCCTTCAGACTACCAAAATTCATCGTACGGTTATACGAAAGTCCGTACAGCTACACGATTCTTTTCAGTTTACAATAATCGTGTGAAGAAATATTGCATAGCGAAACGCATGTTTAGCAATCTTTCGTAGAAAAAAATAATCGATGAAGATTCAGGGTCCGCTCTAGTCTGAAAGTCGTATCGAAAATGTTATCAAAGGGCACAAGAGACCGACCCCGTGTCCACACACAACATCTTCCGTGATTAGGCGTGATTAATTATACCGTTTCGGGATAGTTATACTGTTTCGCGATAGTTATACGATGAAATTGTGTGTGTAGACGCTTACTAACGATACGTCGTATAACGAAACGTCGTATAACGAAAAGATGCCCAAACTTGCGTTTCGTTATACGACGTATAAAGAATCACGCCTAATCACGGAATGTGTTGTGTGTGGACGTAACTATAACTAGAACGGTATAACTGGACGGGGCTTACTGTGACCTCGAGCGAAAGGAGACCTGACCTCTCATTTCCGCTTCCATTTCATGATCGCAGTAGCAAACTGCACACCTATACGATATTTCGCTGTAGCGTTTCAGGATTACTTTCTTCTGTGTGTGGATACCCTGGAATTTATACGATGATTCTTTATACGACGTTTCGTTACAGAGTTTCGGGATAAATTGTTTTGTGTGTGGACACGCTGCGAGATTAATAATACAATCTTACTTTTTTAACGACTTTATCTGCTTATTATTTTCTGTTCAAGTAAATGCTTCAATGGAAGAGCTGGCAAACCAGACCGAGGCTTTTCAGGACAGAATAAGAGAGATACAGGGTGACATCATGGTCGCATCACTATTTCAGGTACTTCCCCTTATTTGCAACCTTATTACGTCACTAGGTGATTCAAATTCAGTTCAAACGAATAACAGAGATACAGGGTGACATCATGGTCGCATCTCTCTTTCAGTTACTTCCCCTTATTTGCAACCTTATTACGTCATTAATCAATTTCGAATTAAAATTCGAATAAGGTAGGCACGGGATGGCATCATGGTCGCATTCCTTTTTCGAGTACCCCCTTCTAACCGCAGTTCGTCATTTAGTAACCATCCCTCTTTCAAGTACTTCCCGACCCTATTACGGCGAGGTAAAGCATGGATTCTTTTTTTACATTCATGTTCTTCTATTTGTAAGCTATTTGCGAGCTAGACTGAGCGAATGAGCCAACATTTTAGCCGAGTTGTACATCTTACAAGGCCCATTGCACTATTTATTGCTACTTGCGCCCTCTATAATTACCAAACAATGCCTAATCGGTGAACATTGGTCTCCCATGATCCTTTTTTTCTTATGTTAATTGGAGCTTATTTGGTGAGTTAACCACCTGTCAGTGACCATGCAAGGAGGTCTAATCCCTCCGGGCTAAACTAGTGCGGTGGGGCTTTAAATCGTTGCCTCTGTATAATGATAATTATATTGTATGTATATTTGCGATAATCTAAAATTATCGATTATATTTCAATAGACAGAATTGATTTGATTTAATACAATTTGATTTGATATGATTTTGTAGGTGTTGATCGGTTTTACTGGAACCATTGGTATCATGCTTCGCTTCATCGGCCCTCTCTCCATCACCCCCACCATATGCCTCATCGGGCTGGGACTCTTCAAGGAAGCAGCGGACTTTGCAGCGGGGCACTGGGGTATTGCGTTCATGTAAGTCGATATCAGGGGAGTATCCAGGATTGTCAGATAAGGGGAGGGGGTACACCAAGACTGTCAGATAAAGGGGCGGGGGTACAAAGGACCCTCTCCCGACAATAGCTTCTCCGATCCACAGGTCGAAATTCCAGTTGATACCAGTTGAAACCAGTAAGGATTTCCAACTGGTATCTACTTATTTGAACTGTTGTCAACTGGTGTCAACTGGTACTAGTTAATACACAATTTGGAAACCAGCAGATATCAGTTGGAAATCCTCTGTAATACACTTCAAATGATCATTGTGATAGGGGTAACTGCAATAGTGTATACATTATGGTCTTGTCGGTGGCCAAATCATGCCAATATTGATTATTGATTATCACAATATCAGTTAATTACTGATCTCAACTGGTAAATCTACTGGTAAATCAATTGGAAATATCAACTGGTCTCAGATTGACGTCAACTGGTTATTCAACTGGTTTGCCAACTGGTCCCAGTTGGCGTTGTTTCAATTTCCATATTAAAAACCAGTTAACTACTGGTTTAACTGGTACCAGTTGTCAAATTGCTTAGTGGTTTTAACTGGTTTTTCGACCTGGGGAGGAAACTTGATTTGGGGAATCCCACCGGCCCTCACTAAGCTCTCTCGGGTGCCCAGTTGTTCCCCAAAATGCTTATTTTCCTGTATTTTTGTTCTTCAATAAGGTAGTCCGCTGTTGTTTCGATTATTAATCAAGCGATTAATTTACTTTTGCTTACTGATATGTACGTTATTGATATGCTACAAGAACTTTTCTAGAAGTTATCAAGCCTTCTAGTTTAATCTTTTGACTTTCCAAAAGATTTATGCGCTAAAAAGTGCTTCATCTTAATGTATCTCAAGAAAAGAAAAAAAAAATTAGCATCGAAATTTCATGTGATGTTCTCAATTTGTAGGACTATCGGATTACTGACTATTTTCTCGCAGTACATCTCAAGGTTCGGAGTTCCATTCTATTGCTATAACAAGGGACAAGGGTGCCACTCAAACAAATTCTTCATCTTCAAATTATTTCCGGTGAGTTCATAACTGATCTCAACAAATTTGAGTTTAAAATGTGTATTGAAGGAAAATGAGACAATTATTATAATGTGCAAATACAGCATTTTTTCTCATACTATAGCTTTCGATATTTCGAATTATCGCGGCAGAGTATGTGAAAACGCTCAATGAAACTCTCGAAATCATAAAATGAATTAACGAGGTTGATGTAAGCTGTGGTCTAGCGCCATCTACGGTATTTATAGTAGCCATTGTATCTTATTTGACAAGGCTTTGGTAATCTTCCCGGCAAATCTTTAAAAGTGTTCTAGGTTTCTTACTTGCTTGCGCTACACAGATATGTAACTACGTGCAGCACATAACCGAATTTAATTTATTAATGCCACCGGAGTGCGTCCTGATGACATAAATTCATTTGATAATTATTGGGGCTTGGAATGCTCTGTTGTTGCTTATCATGTTGTTGCCGTTGATTTCGAGGGTAAAATAATGTTCCATATCAATTAAACTGATATGAACTATAAATGTGTATTCTTCCTGACGCTTATTGTTTGCAACGTATATTTTTCGCTTAATGATTAATGAAGACATATTAACACTTTTGTTCTATTCAATAATGAACTGATTTAGGTGATTTTAGCAATTCTCATCTCTTGGATCTTCTGCGCCATCCTGACCTCGACGAATGTCTTTCCAACCGAGATCGATGACTACGGGTTCCAGGCCAGGACCGACACCCGATTTCAAGTGCTGCAAGAGGCGTCGTGGTTTCGATTCCCTTATCCTGGTATGAAGCTTACTTGATCTGTTGCACTCATTAGATCATTATTTTTTTCTCCACCCCTCCGACTACTTTCTATGTCTCTCCTTCTCTTTCTTTCTTTCTCTTTCTCTCTCTCTCTCTCTCTCTCTCTCTCTCTCTCTCTTCATCTTTCTTTGCCCTCCATTCTCTATTATCGTCAATATATCATCTGTATTATGATCTCTTAAACAAGTCCTCACATCAGTCACTATAAACAAACAAATCTGTTAATGAAAGATTTTCTTCAATCATTAACAAACAAAAGCAACTCACTGAGTCAGTGAAATTGGAAGCCAATTAATGTTTGAAAGGCAGTGACGTTTCGTAGAGGTAGCTAGTTTTTTCAATAAGTTTCAATAACTTTGCATGAATGAATTGTATTTAAAATAGATGAAAATATTTATACTTTCCGATTCCTGCTTTCACCTACCCGCAGGTCAATGGGGTCTTCCCACCGTCACGGTCGCCGGAGTCTTCGGCATGCTCGCCGGTGTCATAGCCTCCATGATCGAATCCGTGGGCGACTACTACGCATGCGCACGTATGGCCGGAGCCCCGCCCCCTCCCAACCACGCGGTGAATCGTGGGATAGGTATGGAAGGTATTTCATGCCTGATCGCAGGGATGTTCGGATCGGGAAACGGAACTACATCGTACAGCGAAAATATTGGCGCCATCGGTATTACAAAGGTATATAATACCTGATTGTGAAATTACTAGCTTACTATAAATAAGGAAAATGTGATTATTAATGATACGCGAGCAAAAAGAAACCCTTGTATAATTCTAAAAGATTGATGAGACAAAGACATTTCTGAATTAAGATATAGTAGTTTCTGAACCGAAGAATGGCAGAATGGAAAAATGGTTTCCATGCATTATTGGAAAATAGATTTGTGAAAATCTGTTTTGATCCAGGCTATATACATCCATTTCATTTCCTGGAGAGGGCAACTCCACCCCCCCCCCCTTCCCTTTGAACGCAAGAATTAACTATCCCGTCCCCCTTTTTTGTTAGTCTACTTTTACCTAACTTGAGCTACTTTATTTTTAAATATCTTTTCATAGACTAGCTTTAATTGGTACATTTATGGTTTTCTCTCTCGTTTATTTGTTTTCCCGTTTTTCTTTGAATTCTTTGATCCTCGTTAGGTTGGCAGTCGGCGTGTGATTCAATATGGAGCTCTGATCATGATTTTTCTCGGAACGTTTACCAAGTTTAGCGCCATCTTTGTCATGATTCCTGACCCGATTGTTGGAGGAATGTTTTGCGTCATGTTTGGTAGGCATGCTTTCGTTTTCTTCTGAGATAATTCGTAATGCACTAATTTCCGATTTTTGTTTGTTTGTTAAAGGTAAAGACCAGTTATGGTCATGCGATTGCATTGTGAAAGAAACGTTGTGGAATCGATCAGAAAAGGTTGATCATCTAGCATATAAGTGTGTACTGCAAGGTTCTGGAATCATCAAAATGACACGAAATTTGGCCCAGTCTTCGTAAAGTTACAAGCACTGTACACAGAAAGATGTATATGGGACTATATGCACACATGCGCGACACGTGCGTTTATCTCTCACAGACCATGTAGATAAACTAATTTACCAAATATATCAATTAGTAGGCGGTTTCCCGGCAAAATTTGCATCATCATGTATTAGTCAAAACATATTCTTTTACATGATTGGTAATAAGAGCTTCCATTTCATTTTTTGAAATTGGGGCGTTTCCAATACTGGTCTTTACCTTTAACGAATTCATCGCTAGCATGTCAAGCCTCGCCATTAGGCCTACCCGAATCTCTATGCCATTAGTATCACTTATTATATATGCAACCAAGGGATCATGATTTAAACAAAAAATATTTCATAAGTAACTGATTCGAATTTCATTGTCAGAAAGCCGCAGCTTTTGGGGATTGGGATTCATTCGTAAACCTCTCTTTTATATATTCAAAATATGTTTATCATGTAAAGTTGAGGAGCTAGTAAAATCCAGTATATTTTGCCTGTAAGAATTCCCCCCCCCCCCCCCCCTCGAACCAGTAGACATCTTTCTTCCACGTAAACCTATTACATAAATCTCATGTTGATGCCCGTGTATAGAAATTTATTTCGAGGAAAAAAATTACTTTAAAGAATTCTGAACTGATTGCTATCCATTTGTTGTGTTTTCAGTACCTGTAAAATAGTATTGAAGTAACGGAAACTTGGTGTGAAAAAAAAATCATTCATTGAAATCTACAACTCACCTTTTTGCGTAATACGCATATTAAGTATAGACCACGTGTTATGCATGTAAGTCGAAACAAGGTCAGGGTGGTTTTATTATCTTTCCTTGCTCAGTCCTTTGATTATTATCCATGATATTTTCTACAAATTTTTTTTTAGGCAAATATCATTTGTAGTTTGTAAATTCATGTCATTTTCTTTTGAAACCAGGATAATGTATTCTCCGTCAGTACCAAACCCATGTTTACTGATTAATTCCAACTGATTGCCTAACACTATGTTTTGTTTATCCATTTGTTTAGTAATTCATTAATATTTTTTCTTTTTCAATTCTCATTTATTTCATTCTCAATTAAAGATTACAGTGATACAAAAGATTCATGAACAAAATTTAGAAAATTAAATGGGGAACTACATAAATAAACCACTTAGGCCTTGTACAAGCGTAGTTCCCAAAGCATTCATAGCATGTTGTATACAGATAACTTATTCATGTATTCAATCATTCAATCATTCAATCATTCAATCATTCATTCATTTATTTATGTATTCATTCATTTTATTTCCAGGAATGGTGGCAGCGGTGGGATTATCCAACCTACAGTTCGTTGACCTCAACTCCTCACGAAACCTCTTCATCCTGGGCTTCTCTCTCTTTATGGGCTTGTGTATCCCGAATTGGGTGAAGTCTGGAACTAATGATCAATACATTAACACTGGTAAGAGATTGTGTTCCCTTCTCTCGAATTATTTTTCGCCACCTCATACCCCATTTTCTCACTTATGTTTTTTCTACATTGTATTTCAATAATATGGGGGAAAATACCCTCTCGCTAATTACTTGTCTCCATGTAAGTCATATCGTAAACAAGATGTTCTCCCATTGCCATCTTAAACCTTAGCAAACATGCCAATCTATTACAAATTAATAATATTTCACGAGGCACGGTTTCACTACCCCTTTTATAACAAAAGTCCTCTTTGATGTGATGAATTAAAGGGATAGTTGAATTCTGTTTTCAGACGGCAAAAGCCTTCAAGTGCATGATTATTGCTCCTATTCTTATCTATGACATTTCTAGAGCCCTTTTGGGACCTAAAATTGCTATGAAGGTAATTTTAGACCCCAAAATGTGCTAAATTTAGCCAATATACGATCATACCATAGGGTTTCAACAGCTTTTTCAAATTATCGAATATTTGCGGTGGTACACAAATTAATATGAGAAATCGATATATTTATGGATATTTCAGCCGTCACTGAACCGATTTTGATCAAACAAAGATGATTTTGTCATTTAGATTGTATGTTCTTTCAAATTTGACACTCAGTTTTTCATAATCTCACAACAACAAAATATTTTGTGTAGCGCCCTCTGCAACAGAACTCAAAGAAAATAACCCTCTTCCAAGTTCAAGCTTAGGTAGACCAGTTTTGTTTTTGATACTTTTAACCGTCAACAGCTCTAAAAATGTTTCTGCTTTGTATTTTCCTGTGTTAGGTGTGAATGAATTGGACCTGATAATAGTTGTCCTACTCAAGACCGGTATGTTCGTAGGAGGATTCTTTGGATTCGTGCTGGATAACACGATACCAGGTGAGACAAACGATGATGGCAGAGATGATGATGACGATGACGATGATCATGATGATGATGATGCCGTGTACTTATAAGGATGGTGATGGTGATATTGTTGTTGCTGTTGATGATGACGATGCTGATGATGATGATGATGATAGTGATGATGAGATGATGATGGTGAGATTGTGATGATGACGATGATGATAGTGATGATGACGATGCTGATGATGATGATGATAGTGATGATGATGAGCTGATGATGGTGAGATTGTGATGATGAGGATGATGATGATTACGATGCTGATGATGATGATAGTGATGATGGTGAGATTGTGATGATAGGATGATGATGATGATGATGATGATGATGATGATGATGATGATGATGATGATGAGGATGATGATGTCGTGTGCTTATAATGGTGGTGATGGTGATATTGTTGTTGATGATGATGATGATGATGATGATGATGATAGTGATGATAGTGATGATGATGAGATTATGATGGTGAGATTGTGATGATGAGGATGATGATGGTGATGATGATGACGATGCTGATGATGATGAAGATAGTGATGATGATGAGATGATGATGGTGAGATTGTGATGATGGGGATGATGGTGATGATGATGACGATGCTGATGATGATGAAGACAGTGATGATGATGAGATGATGATGGTGAGATTGTGATGATAGGATGATGATGATGATGATGATGATGATGATGATGATGAGGATGATTGTAAAGATGATGCTGATGATGATGATGATAGTGATGATGATGTAGATGATGATCATGAAATCTTAATTGATGATGATGGTGGTTTTGATAATGATCATTAATTTTTATTCCTTATTATCGTGGTGATATCTAAATTGTTGTAATTGATGATGATAACGATGTAAACGAGGATTAGAACGAAGTAAATCAACACATAGAACATATACGTTTTAGGTTTAAGATCACATTAAGTCATGATATTGTGTCTGAATACATGTTAACGTTGCAGGCACTAAGAAGGAGAGGGGCATCGGAGAGTGGCAGCGGTTCTCGGGAAGCGACGGGGAGAACGAAGTCGTGAACGACCTCGTGTTTCGCTGCTACGACTTCCCTTTTGGAATGGCATGGATACGGAGCAAGGACTTCTTTTCTTATTTGCCCTTCTCGCCTACCTTTAAGGGCTGGAGGTGTCGGGGGTGTTGTCAAGGCGGCAGGCGGTCAGGTATTTATATTTCGTCATGAAATTAGATTTAAATATAACATGATCGCAAAGACCTTCAAGATATCAAAAGCGTGTGGGGACTGCCTGTATAAATCATGTTCGGTTTACGTGGTATGACATTGTCATGTTTTCACGTATCAATGTTACGCGCAGGGCTATGAAAGTACCTCAGGCTGATTTTTGGGGAAAGTATGTGCGCTTGTCTTTTTTTTCATAACTTTGCTTATTAATTTGCTTGTCCAATGTTCATGAAGTTTGTACGAGAATTGAAGTCTATCGGCATGACCATCATGTAGTAAAACTCTAAATTCTGATTTGGAGCGGTATAAGTCGACAAGGTTGTGAGGCAGTCAATATCACACATGTATTCAAGAAAGTCACTGTATCTTTCGATGAGTCTGATGCAGGTGCGATTCCAGACCTTTAGGCAATTTGGATGGGGCAAAATTCCGAAAATATATGACAAGAATATCAAAAATGAAAGAAAAAGAAACAAATAAAAAGACTAATATGTTTTTTTTAAGCGTTAAATTATATTTTCAGGCGCCTTTTTGATCAAATATTCGAACCGGGTTTTCCAAGACCTCCCCCCCCCCCCCCCCCCCCCCCCCCCCCCCCCTGCACCAGCATGCGGTCCACAAGCACAACACTAATGTGTATCACTTTTCGTTTTGGGGGTCGGCAGTGAGCAATTGAACGACCGTGAAATATTGTACCAGAACGTTAACGTCATTCGAAAAGAAAACGCATGACCCCAAATCAAACTTGTACTTTTTCAACATCCCAACGATTGCAAAGAAAACATGTATTGCTTAGTTTGTCAACAAAAATAAACAATGTTGTTTTTCCTGCAAATATTCGTCACGGGTTGAATAAACATAATACAAACACGATCAAACAAAAACATTTCGATGAGTGACATTTCAAAAACTTTTTTACAAAATCTATTTGTGGCATCTCACATAACCTTGCAACATGACCTTGCATATTTTGCTTGAATCTGTTCGTTTTTGTTTTCGTTCCTTTTGCTTTTGTTAACATCTCTAAAAAATTTCCCATCGTGTAGACACTAACGAATAAGCAATGCTTTCTTCGTGCATCTGTATAATTGCTAAAATTCTCTACATTTCTGATGTATGTCTATCCGTCCACATGTCTATGCAACAATAATCTTGAAGGCGTATTCAAAAAGCAGAAAAAAAAATCATAATTAAGAAATCGATGAATCAGGGTATAAAACGATTGCGAAGCATGGGTGTTTACGTGCCCACGTAAAACAAAACGCAAAGATGACAAATCTTTTGATTCAAATGATACCAGCTCTTTCATACGACGCAAGTAATAGTGTGGTACGGTATGTCACTAAAACATCTCCCGTAGGATTTTTGTGCCAAAGTTGATTTTTTTTTTTTTTCATTTTTTTCATTTTTGGGTTCATTGGGATCCAAGCTATCAGAAATTGCCTGGGGTTCAAATTTTCCCGAAGACACCAAATTTCCCTATTGCGCGTTATATAAGCCATTTTGGCCCCCAATATGGACCCCCATGGAAATGAAGGAGGGGTCTGAAAATTTAAACCCCATCATTTTTGGCCAATTGGGACCCTTTTGAAGCCAAAACAGCAAAAAAACAAAAAAAACTTTGGCACAAAAATCCTATGGGATTACACACCATACCGCACTATAACTCCTTACGCGGACTGAACTCGAACCGTCAACAAACATCATTGCGTCAACCAAAGACATCCGGGCTTGTGCATGCCCAGACGCAGCACGCACTGCGATGAAATTTCTTCAGATTGGTAAATTGGCTTTATGTCGGAAAGACGGTGTGGTAGAACAATGACCTAACAGATAACCGATGCACTTTGCACACGAGGCGTTCTTTCCAATGCGTTATTCCCTGCGATAATCAAGGAAGTGAAGACAATTTAGTCCCATCACCAGTAATTCAAAGAAATGCTTGTCCTGTTCATGTGCCATTTATATTTCGTACGATATCACCTTAACACGGACACGTCAAAGACTGCGCCAGCCTTTGACGCAATCCTACGTCAGTGAAATGACGCATCAATGTACAACGGGCATGAATGCATTCATTTGAATTCGAAGAATCAATTGACGCAATGGCCAGACGCCGCATATGCAGTCGGCTTCATATTTGCCCGTGCACATCTTTAGTATCAAATGAACAAAATGAATCCTCAAAGTGAGGTAACATTATCATGTATTCAGAAAAGTCAAAACTCCGAAATTATTCACACCCTTATATATTTACTCTCTTTTTGTGTTGAAAAACACCTGTGGGTGTTACAAGCTGTGCAATGAACTTTGCTTCCATTTTTATGTTTTGAGTGCGGTTGCAAATCTATTTACATACAAACGTGAATGTACACATGTTTTACAATTCTATTCATGTGATGTTTATAAATTCCGTAGACATTGTAGATACATACCAGGAATGAAAACCAGTGTGAAGATATCATGATGTCTTGTTAAAGCAAAGCAAAGACTGATGAAGAAGAAAAGAAGACAAGAAGAAGAAAAAAATTAGGAAGAAGAAGAGGGAGGAGAAGAAGAAGAGGAAGAAGAAGAAGGAAAGGAAAAAGAGAAAGAAGATGAGGAAGAAGAAGAAGAAAAAGAAAAAGGTTTGGAAAAAGAAGGTGAAGAGTAAAAGAAAAAGGAAAATGAGAAGAAGAAGTAAAAGTAGAAGAAGGAGAAGAAGAAGAAGAAGAAGAAGAAGAAGAAGAAGAAGAAGAAGAAGAAGAAGAAGAAGAGGAAGAAGAAGAAGAAGAAGAAGAGGAAGAAGAAGAAGAAGAAGAAGAAGAAGAAGAAGAGGAAAAAGAAGAAGAAGAAGAAAAAGAAAAAGAAGAGGAAAAAGAAGAAGAAGAAGGAGGAGAGGCTTGCAGTTACCTCCAACAATGAAAGCAAACTCTTACAAATCATTTATACTCAAACATTTTGGGTATAAACCATGTAGTGCATACGCTAATTTTCATTTCTCCGTCTGATGATAACACTGTGGTGAAAACTTGAAGTCATGTGAGCAAATATCAATGTTTACCCTTGACACGGAACTATAATGTCAATGTCGTCAACAGATTCATGCTTAACATACATCTTTTGTCGCTTTTATTTTTATAACAAAACTATTTAGGTCGAGCGTAGACAGAATTATTTGCGAAATGGTTTTCGTCACGAGCCGAATAAACATTAGTCATTTGATCTTTAGTCAGTCAGAGTCGCGAACGAAATAAACTGACATTAGTGTGATTTTACTTGCTTTATGACAAGTAGTTATTTGATCTTCTTTGATCAACAGAGAGTCTAAGGCGTGTCAAGGATTGTCTTATGTAATAGGGTGGTTAAAAATCACGATATCTGGATAGGGTGTTGCTCACGCAGCGCCTATTTTTGTTTTCTATATTTTCTTTAAACGCAATACAAATATTTCATTATCATATTTGTTGTATTAAAAAAAAAAAAATTCTAAAAATGTGTTATAACTATTATTATTTCTTTTAGTTTTTACTAAATAAATTTTGTATTTATTATATTTTTTGTAAATATTTTATTTATTATTATTATTATTATCATTATTATTATTATCATCATTTTTTTTTTTTTTTTTTTTTGGGGGGGGGGGGGGGGGAGTTGGGTTCAATAGGGGTTAGGCGTAGCCATTTTCCTAATGTTGATCCGCCCATGGATGCCATGCTTTTTTCTCTCTCTACGATGTTATTGATGGCTTGTCTGAATATGGATTGAATAACAAAATTAGAAACAAACCTGTTAATAAAGTTTATTCAAACCTGAATTGAAAAGGTGCCATTTTTTCGATGTATGGTGTTTCCATTGAGTCTATTCGTGGGATATTCATATTAATTAGCCCCTGTAAACGGAGAGATGCTCCAATGGAAATTACTGGGGCCTATTAAACAGGTTCCGATCCAACATTACAGAAGTTTAATCCAGCATGTTAAAAGTATGACTACCATTTTGAGAATTTTGTTTTCAAGCTTTGGCCCTTTTACACGTCCCTTTACCATTTTTAGAAAGTAAATCTTGATTTTCTTCTTCATCTTTATCTTTTAGCGTTGTATCGTCTTGTTCCAGCGCGATTCAGGTCAGCAGATGAAGTTTAGATTTGACCTTGCTGACGTCACAATGTCATCATTACCATCGTCTTCCTAATCATCGACCATAATGCTGTCTTCAATCAGTGTGCCTTGCTGACGTCATCATGTCATCATTCCAAACGTCTTCGTCATCATCGACGATACTGTCTTCAATCAGTGTGACTTGCTGACCTCATGTCATCATTGCCAGAGTTTTTTATTTGTATTTTATGTGGTTTTAATGAGTGAATGAATTGAATCGAAATTGCAAATGAAAGCGTCTTCGTCATCATCGACCATGCTGTGACGTGGTGACGTCATCATGTCATCATTACCATCGTCTTTGTCATCATCTTCGTCGTCATCAACAATGTTGTCTCTGATCAATGTGACTTTCACTGCTCCTTTTACATCACAGTGTCTTTAGGGAGAAGAATGAGTTATGATGTTGTTTAAACCGATTTTGAGCACTCACGATGAAGCTCTATTTTGATACAATTTAACTGGATCAACATCGCCAGGACTTTTATTTTTGAAAATTCAATTCTAGGGCAATTTAAATACCCTGCTGTATTATATCCGATAGAAATCAGATTCTGATTACGTAATACGTTACTGTAATGGTGGTTAGCGATATCTGGCAATCTCCTGTATGTTCATAATAGTTTTATATTTATAGTCTGCTGCTTCACACGAAACAATAAGATGTAACGTTTGTCCTTTTCAAAAGTTGATGGACAAGCCTATTGAAATTGTATTTCCGAAAATCTTTGAGATCGTAAATTTGGGCAAGCCAAGCCCACGGAACCGGCAACATTCCAGTTTTAAGTAAACCTGGAGGTATTTCACAAAGATCCTATGTTAAACTTATCTCTAAATTGGACTTTAAAATTATGGAAAGCCATTAGTATCTTTGAAACAAATTTGTAACACTTATTTTAAAAGGTATTAAATGTTGATTTAAATAATTCATATTATTCATTATCAAGGAGATTTCATGTTCTTGATGTGGAATTATGAAAAGTCTAAAATACTTGAATTTTTGCATTTGAATACATTTTATTTTATGGCTACAAATGGCTCTCTACAATGTTTAAGTCCAACTTAGAGCCAAATTTGACTTAGGATGTTTGTGAAACACCCCCTGGTGGCTTTGTAAATTTGAGAAGCATGCTTAGGCTCGGATCTGACCAAAATATACAATGAAAGTTTCGATGTCAATTTTCATCATAGTACCTTTAAAACGTGGTAACGCTTGGAGCACAAGAATACGAAATAGCTTGGACTTGCAATTTCAACATCGTTATTTATTTCGTCATTTGAAATGACATTTAGTGATTCTGTAAAGTTTAGGACAACCATTTGTTAACAATATTGCGAAAATTTGCTTTTAAAAAAAATCGCCACTCTGAAATTTGCCATCACAGACGAAGTGCATTTTGGGGACAACAAAAACGATAATCGAGTAATGTTTTACCAAATGTAACCAAAATAAGAAATGAGGAAAATCTATTTCTTTTATAATCCGTATATGTTCGATATGTGTGATTTTGATTAACAAGTTGTGTGTAATTGTTTCTATTAGTGTCTTACTATTAAATTACCGTGGCAATTTCGACTATTTCTTGGCACGATCATGTGATTTTTATATGTTTTGTTCAAAAGTGGCAATTTGTATTTTTTAAGACGAAATGTCCATATTTAAAACATTATATAGGTTGTATATCACTATCATTCTTCCATTTCATTGAATATAATCATTCTTCCTTTTAATTCAATCGAATCGGGAGTATTAAATAATGTATAGCTTCAGTTGTACATATATCATGTTAAAATCAAATCAAAATACTGTTTTATTATGTAGTTACAATTCAGTGCCATGCAGACGAAATTTGTTCATACAGTCATGTTTCATATTTATATCATTGCGCATAAGCCAGTTCGGGTATAGTTTCTGCGCATGGGCAGACACAGGTCATTACATTTGTAGAAAACTGTAAAAGCCATCGAGACTAATGTTGGATAAGTGTTTATAAAAGTTATGGTATTGTTATTAATTCATGCATCGACTTTAAATTTTGTGTTTTCCTTTCAAAGAGGGCAAATAAAAGGTATTCATCAAGCACCTTCATCACTTTGACAGTGATTAGTGGGACTTCTACTTGTTAAAAATTTCTTTGGATAATTATTTCATTTGGGGGTCATTGGTAACGTGCTTTCTCCGGACTGGTCTATTGAGATGAATAGTGTACACGCTAATCTTCTGTTGTTTGAACATAACAACTCCTACTCGCTAAACACTGAAAATATTTAGAGCGTGACCTATTATAATCGTCCCCAATAATCACCTTTTATTTCCATGATTGGTGACTCTCATTCTTCTTCTTTTTAATAATTTTTCAAAGCAGTGAATGAACTCTTCAAGAGCAAATTTTGTCAGCACCTTTTATTGTATTAAGAGGATTGCCCTCTTTTGTTCGCAATCTCGTTTTAGTTAATGGTCCGTTTGGCCAAATGAATAGGAAATAAACTGCATGCGTCCATGAACTCTGTCATAGTGTATGAAATTGTTGTCAATACAAAAAGGTGTTTATTTTCGTATGAACTTGACAAGTAATATCGCGGCTCTGCCATTTGAATTTTGGTAAACATGTAGTAACTTTAAAGGTACTATGTCCCATTTGCAGGCCAACAAAATGAAAAGATTAATTTCCAACGGCATTTGAAAGACAATATTAATTTAGAACTTCCCTAAAAAAAAAGGGGGGGGGGCTTGAAAATGTCTTTAAGTTGGAAAATAACGACTATTAGTTGTTGAATCGACTTAGGAGCTATAGAGCCAGTAAGTAATAGTCTGATTTTTCAGACCATTGTACCGAATGGTCGTACGTTTTATGCTGCGCAAAGATCAATCAGTTTAATTTTGGCCGTTACAAGAAGTGGGTTATTGATTGATGTAGACAAATGCTCATGTACCCTTTTACAGCTCATTTTATGTTGTTATTACCAAAGATGGCATAAGCCAATCAGACACTCAATAGTGTCTGACAGTGAAGTCTAGCAAGTAAACGGGTTTCCTTGCATAATTTGAATATTAGGACACTGCTAACGTTTAAATTTTACAGGGAGGACATACATGCCATATTCATAATTCCTGCAAAGTTCTGCAGAATTTGATGTTGGCTGTAAAAGGGACACAGTATCTTTAAAGATAATATTAAGCGGTTTTAAAAGATTAACCTCCTTTGGTTGGTCTTTTAAAAGAAAGGGATTGAAGAGTAAAGCTTGTCCCTGCCACAAAATGATTTTAAGTGTCTCGGAACTCATGGCTCAATACTATGTACATTTCTAATGACATTCTGATATAAAAAATCGTATGAGTTACTCTTGTAAATACAAAGTGCCGTAAGATTATCTGGTACTTGAAATAATTCGTTTATAGATATGGATGAATTTGCATGTACATAATTCAGGAACTACAACTTTAGGCCTTGAAGCAGTGGTGTTTCATATAAAACAATTTTAGTACTCTTTACAATCGCAGAAAAATAAAATAAAACTTATACATATTGTATTATTATTATTGTGAACAAAGTTTCGTGTACATGTATTGATTTCCTCGCCAGACCAACACCAGACCAAATAAACCAACACCAGACCAAAGAAATCGACACCTGACCAACACCAGACCAAATAAACCGACACCAGACCAAAGAGATCGACACCAGACCAAATAAACCAACACCAGACCAAAGAGATCGACACCAGACCAACACCAGACCAAGTAAACCGACACCAGACCAAAGAGATCGACACCAGACAAACACCAGACCAAATAAACCGACACCAGACCGACACCAGACCAAAGAGACCGACACCTGACCAAAGAGACTGACACCAGACCGACACCAGACCAAAGAGACCAAACAGACCGACGCGTGACCAAAGAGGTCGCACCAGACTGACATTAGACCAAAGACACCGACACCAGACCGACACCAGACCAAAGACACCAGAGACCGACACCTGACCAAAGAGACCAAAGAGACCGACACCAGACCGACACCAGACCAAAGAGACCAAAGAGACCGACACCTGACCAAAGAGGTCGCACCAGACTGATATTAGACCAAAGACACCGACACCAGACCGATACCAGACCAAAGGGACCGACACCAGACCAAAGAGATCAAAGACCGACACCAGACCAAAGAGACCAAAGAGACCGACACCAGACTAAAGAGACCGACACCTGACCAAAGAGGTCGCACCAGACCGACATTAGACCAAATACACCGACACCAGACCGACACCAGACCAAAGAGATCTTACAGACTGACACCAGACCAAAGAGACCGACACCAGACCAACATCAGCCCTTAGCTTCTAAGGCCTGAGGGCTACAGTAATTATTTTTACGTTCTCCATTTCCAAGTACGGTTATACATCCATTATTCATTTTCTTAACGGTGTACTATCTTGCTGTATGTACTTTCTTGAAATGCCGAATAAAATAATGATACTAGACCTACAAATAATACTTCTACTAGGCCTTGTTATTATGGTTAGTATTATTATCATTAATATTAGTAGTAGTAACAATACGTTACGGCTAGAGCAACTAAATTTGCTACAGGTCTATAGGATAAGGCATGGAATTGATGACCTCCAGTCAGCTAATTTCTTTCATCGTACCACTGTCACAGTAAGGTCCCCAGTTCAAACTACAAAAGAAACACGTAAAATCTAGATTGAGGCAGAGCTGTTTTTCACAGAGAGTAGTAAACGAATGGAATGGTCTTCCATCATATGTAGCAGAAAGACAAGTACTGGTCACTGAAGAAGGACAAGTGTAATCCTGATGAACTATTCAACTGTCCATGTTCATCCGTAACTGTACAACGCCTAATTCAAGAGTAACCCACCAGCCGATGCCGAAGGTCAAATAAGTTTTGTATAACTTTTTGCCTACTTCAAAGGTATGAATAATACAGATAATAAAAACCTTCAATTATCCTAATAGCCGCAAACCAGTTGGTTTGGAATCAATGGCGGTGTGACTGAGGGATAAGGGTAACGTTGATTGGTAGTATTTGGTGTTTTTATTTTAATCATACGTGTCACCCCCCCCCTAAAAAAAATATACATATATAAATAATAAATCAATACATATATACAACAAAATATAAAACGCGTACCCGGTGATGTGCTAGTCCAACTGGATCAGACTTTAGCCCTGTAACATTATAAAACGTCCAATCCTGCTGCAAGTAATCGTATCTTACGATGCATTGTGTCTATCTGTAACATAATCAATCGTAAAGGTTATATTATTAAGAGTCAAGGTTCAAATGATTTTATTTCTCATGCACAACATAATGCAATGAAATTACAATGGCATTTGCAATTTTATATAGCCTAAATATGTTACCAAAAATATATATACAACGAAAAAAGACAAATAAAATAGTAATGGCACGAGAATGGAGAAACTAAATAGAAGCAGAGCTTGTTGAAGTATTAGTTCATCAGAGGCTGTTTATGGTGTAGTTATACGATTGATGGAATAGGATAGGATTTACTGGTTGATGGAGTTGAGATTAAACAGGCTCTGTATCAAGGTGGGGGGGGGGGGGGGTGCGTCCAGAAATTGAGGGGAGCCCCAGAAGCGAGAGGGGAGGGGGGCAATCAGTCTTACACGAAGGATAGAATTCGATTTGAGTGTTGATAAGTGGTGGGGATGGGAGGGAATCGTTTTATCTCCTCTTCACTTTCATTATCTTTCTATTTTCTATGTTTGTCCATCTCTCTCTCTCTCTCTCTCTGTCTCTCTCTCTCTATCTCTCTCTCTTTCTCTCTCACTTCTACTGCATGTTTCTCACTGGCTTCGGAGATTGAGAGAGAGAGAGAGAGAGAGAGAAAGAGAGGGGGCCGAAGAGTGGGACAGAGTTGGAAATAAAGAGAGAAATGTGTAAGAAGGAGAGAGAAAAAAAATTGATGGAAGAAGAGGGACGGGGAAAGGGGGGGGGGGGGGTTGAGCACGCGTAAATATGATACGATCCCTTCTAAACCCGCCCCCTTCCCTCACATAATCCATTCCGTACGATCACAGCCCTGACGCCCCCTTCCACTGACTGTACCTAAACTACATAGTACTCGAGTACGTTTATAGTTGTATGTTTCCGAACTCTTGGGATTGTTTTCTACCATAAAGAGCATCGCTTGTGTAAATACTCACATGTTTGGTTTTCTCTCTCTCCCTCTCTCTCTCTCTCCCTCTCTCTTTCTCTCTCTCTCTCTCTCTCTCTCCCTCTCTCTCTCTCTCCCTCTCTCTCTCTCTCCCTCTCTCTCTCTCTCTCTCGATCTCTCTCTCTCTTCCTTCCCCTCTTTCTCTCTCTCTCTCTCTTTCTTTCTCCCTTTCCCGATTTGGGATTAAAGGAAAAGACCAGTATTGGAAACGCCCCAATTTCAAAAAATGAAATGGAAGCTCTCATTACCAATCATGTGAAAGAATATGTTTTGACTAATACATGATGATAAAAAAATTGCCGGGAAACCGCCTACTAATTCATATATTTGGTAAATTTGTTTCTCTCATGGTCTGTGAGAGATATAGGGTAGTCCCATATACATCTTTCTGTGTATAGTGCTTGTAACTTTACGAAGAATGGGCCAAATTTCTTATCATTTTGATGATTCCAGAACCTTGCAGATGCTAGATGCTAGATGATCAACCTTTTCTGATCGATTCCACAACGTTTCTTTCACAATGCAATCGCATGACCATAACTGGTCTTTACCTTTAAGCAAGCATTCATAAATACGTTGGTTCAAGAGTCAAATTGCGAGCTACCAATATTCTTTCTTCTTTTGATACAGCCATTAAAGCACACAGTGACACGTACCAATGTGGGCGAAGTTAACCTCACGCACGAGCTGGCATACACTCGTGTCACGGCCTACTATCTTCGGATAAAGTCTACAGAAACTTGTAAAAAGAGAAAACCGTGCTAATCAAAAGAAGTTCAAGTTGAATGATCAAGAAACATTTATGTGAATCGAATTCGAATGTTATTGGAACAAGGATTTAATCAAGTGCAAACTGTAGGCGTCGTCGAACGGTAGAACGACGCCAGACGATAGTGGGGAATCGTCAGATTTGGAATACCAACTGCTTGCAGAGGTACTTGTCTTGATCAGACGGGTCTATAAGGAGGTTCAAGGGCGTCGCTGTTGACTTAAACCAAGGATTTCACCAAACTTCAAACTGAGGTATGTCATTGGGCATTTCAAGGAAATGGAGACAGAAGGCGTTTATCAGTATTATCGAGTGGTATCAGTTATATGTTCGTTCCTTGATTGCAACTGATTCAGTTGCAATCAAGGAACTTTTGTTTATGTTTAGGAGAGTGCATTTTACAATGTCGAAGTGACGAAGAATGGGTGATCTTAGATTATTACATTTTCTTGAAATATATTTTACGTATGTATTTTTATACTTATCTTTAAGCAGAACAACATTGTTTATTGTTTACTCTTCTTTTGTCGTTGTTCCCCGCCGCTATGAACGATACACACTAAGCAGGAATTATCTGATGTTGGTGTCTGGATTACGACTTTCATCTTTTTTTGTAAATGTTCCATTCATTTTCAAATTTTCCTACCATAACACTCTCGATTGACTTTGCATTAGAGTAGCCCCGTCATTTTTCTCAGTATACACCACATCTTTATCACATACGATAATTTGGCTGTAGGATGCAATATTTGAGATCCTAGAATGCATAGTTTCAGTATTCCAAACTTGAATATCTTCTTTCTCGCTCGGTCACTCCGCTCCCTCGCTCAATACAGCAACCTGTAAAGCACCGCATTACTGGTCTTAATTGCCATTCCTTATGTATGATCAATACACAGGCACCGACTTGATTGTGTGAAGTGTCTCATAAAGAGTCATTGATTCAAATGGAATTAATGGGGGATCTCTCTCTCTCTCTCGAAAATCTGTAAAAGTTATCGTTTACCTCCCTTCAAAAATTTAGAAAGCTTCATTGGTTGGTTAGTTGGTTTTATTTTCAGTATAAAAATTCAAATACATACAAGAATACAATTTACAAATATAATACGAATCAAGAATTAAAAACGGCTGGAATGCTCTATTCAGAGCCATTATCAAAATGGCTCTGTTCTTCCTAGAGGTCCAGAAATAATTAAACATATCTATACAAAAAATTAAAAAAAAACCTCCCAAACCCTCTATATCACATTATGGATACGACTGTTACCATCCCTTCCCCTCCCCGTTCACACCAAAAGTTTATACATCAAAATCTGCTATCCATTCATTTAGTCCATGCCGAAATAGATTGAGTGTGTTCGGTATACGTAATAGGTCACAAAGGTTCCCTGTTTTCCCATTGTCTTTCCGAATTTCCATTGTCTGAAAATCGTTCGTACGGCGTACGTAGCAGTTCGTAATGGCGTTTGTGACCGAGGCATAAGTTAATCGGTAATTCATTATACAATTTCGATCCGCGATAAAAGAATGTTCGTTTACAATAATTAGTTTTAGGTTAAGTACCTAAATTAACGATTTGAAGCTTTCTAACCCCATTGAGAGAACAGAGAAAGGTAATTACAATTGCCGGTGTGGTAAACAAAATAAAACTACAGAACGCAAATTAGTATAATGATCATTATAATAAACTTTCCAAAGTGCGTTACTTAAATAGTAGAATGCAAAGTTTGATCTTTCCCAAAGGAAAAAAGGGTATTTTGCCTTGCCTGCAACAGAAACCCAACGGAACCTCACTGGAGCTCCCCACTCAAGGGGGCCCCCGTCACCCTGAAAATATCTTCCAGAGCCGAGCCTCCAGGCCGATCAGACATGTCCGTCCCCGTACTTTCAAAAGCGCTCCGCGGTCCCTGTCCCTGATAAAAAATGCAAATATATAAAAGGCAATTTTACAATAAAAATGATATTGATGGTATCTAAGGCCAGGAATAAACCTTTACCGCTGAACACTAAGATTGATCATCTTGATATAAAATTGGACTTTTGCTTTGTAAATGTCTTTGATGACCAAACAATAAACGAATCTATTACAATGAATTAGATGACCTGGGCCCGGTGTCGTAACAACTCTTAAAACTCGATGACAAGTTTAATACAAAAAAACTCTTCTAAGCTACTGATTTCGTGGTATTTGATTAGCTGAGAGCAAATTCATCATAGAAATTGAGTATTCGTTATCGATAACAAGTTTTTAATGAAACAGGGCCTTGCGTGGGGGTGGGGGCGGGAGCAATTGACCACAACCGTAAGCTTCAAAACCATAACCATTCATGATATTTGACCTTCACTGTTCAGCAGTTCCCTAAGCACTATACTTTAATACAAAAAAACTCTTCTAAGCTACTGATTTCGTGGTATTTGATTAGCTGAGAGCAAATTCGTCATAGAAATAGGGCATTCGTTAAAAATCGATAACAAGTTTTTAATGAAACATGTCCCTGCGTGGGAGAGGGGGCGGGGGCGGGGGCAATTGACCACACCCATAAGATTCAAAACTTTAACCATTCATGATATTTTACCTTCACTGTTTAACAGTTCCCTAAGCACAGGTACAAATAAAATGAAAGACTTCGGATTTTGGCCTACATTAATTAAACAAAAAAGTGAATGAAAGGGTCTACTTTGACCTAAATTTTTACAATGAAAACATCAATATTTTGAGATAATCGGAGAATGAACCTCGCTCATTATATATAAAGGGGTCGTTATAAGTTTAAATTTGTGTACGGCTGTTTTCATTGATAGAATTGGGGCTATGGTAAAGCTATGTGGGGTTGACACGAGGGGAGAGGGGTGCACGTGCCTCAAAATCAATTTGCGAAAATCAGGAAAAGACGGAAGAGGGGAAAGGGAAAGTGGAAATATAACGCTTATATTAGTTCTACATCACCCCTCCCCTTAATCATGCTAATCATTGTTCTTGATTAAGATGATGTAATTTGCATTGCATCCACCAAGTACGACCGGGGCTTATCATGATGCCGGTGCCCCCTATCTGGATCCAATCTACGCCACTGATTTGGGGGTGGGGAGTACGAGACATCTAACCACTTTTTATCGCCTAATTCCTATCTACTTCAGATTTTTGCGCCACTCAGTTAAGTCGAAACGTATTCCGTAACTTTGTTTGATTCGCTCCTAAACTGGGGTTTCTCCTTTCGTGTTTGTAATACAGTGTATTAAAAAGTTTACTTATACTTTTGTCTCAATGCTTCTCAGATGTTTTGCAATCAATTGTAAATATACATGTATGGTGTACATTAGCGGATCCAGGAGGGGGGGGGGGGCCGCCCCCCCCCCCCCTTGAGAAAAAAGAATCATGCAAAAACACGTGATTTTTTACCTTTTTGGGGGGGGATTGGCCCCCCCCCCTGGCGCTCAAGGGAGGGGGGGTTGCAAATTTTTAAATTTTCGAGAACCAAAAAAAAAAAAATTGTGGTCACTACCCCCCCCCCCCTACCCCCACTGAGTGACTTTTCGGCCGGCGCGATTTTCAAATTTTCGGGGGCAAAAAAAAAAAAGTTGGGCCCCCTCCCCTAAGAAATCCTGGATCCGCGCCTGATGATGTATCACAAAGCCCAATCCACTTTTTTCTTTTGAATTTGACAGTTGAACTTTAGATTCTTATGAGATTATTGATGAAAAGACGCGTCGGGTGAAAAATACCCTCTTTACATCATCATCATCGTATTTAAGTGGGTATTATGAGACTAGGGTTCTGTTTATTTGTTCAAACTCTTAACCTCATTCAGGGGAGAGCTGCGAATGTCGAATAGTTGATAGTCCTCTATTCCTCAGTCAAACGACGCAGGCAAATAACATGTTCTATTTGCTCGTTGTATCTATAGTTTACCTCGATTTCGGGTCTCCCCGAGTACACGGTGGTAAAGGGTGAAATAGTATTTATTTAATGAATTGGGTCAACCTTATGAACCTTATTATGCAAGTTGAGACTAATGCTTGAAAAAAAGAAAGAATGGACTGGGTCATTTATGTTTGAAGAGTAGAAAAGTGACTTTATTTTATTGATAGCCGATTATTTATTTTTTTGTTACTGTGATTCCAAGTCTTGTGTTATTCTTGTGGATGTTAAACACGCAAGTATTGGATCGTTTTTTAAAGCAGGAAATTATACACTCTCAAAAATATTTATTCAAATATGAAGAGAATATATTCAGACCTGAAAAAAAATCGTATGAGGGACACTAACAAGAATATATTCAAAATGAACGGAGACTGGTTTCCACTGGGGCCGTGTTAAACATCGAAAATAACATTAATACATGTTGCACATCTGATAACATTGAAAACTTTAACGTTATATTTATATTCATTAAACAGGCGTAGTTTAAACAGACAAAAAAATAAAGGTTATAGCAGTACTGTTTACTACTAGGTCTTTATTTATAGTAGTTTACTACCATGAAAGCATAATTCAGTTAAATATATCCATTGGTGTACGCAGAATTTTTTCATGGAGGGTGTTTGAAAATTGGAAAATCGCGCCGACCGAAATTTCGCTCAGTGGGGGAAGGGAGTGGTGGGGGTGGTGGTGGGTGGGGGTGGTGATGGGGGGGGGGGGGGTAGTGAGCAAAAAAAAATTGTTGGCCCCCCGAAATTGGAAAAATTTATTTTAAAAAATTGAAAGGCAGAGGGGAGTTGACATCCCCCCCCCACCCCTGCGTACGCACCTGAATATATCACATCACATTCATGAAAGTTATGATAGTTTGAGTGTGTCGTTTTTATATAAAAAGAACATTAAATGTGGAAATTTGAAGAGAAATACTGGGTGAGCCGTCAGTTCAAGATTATTGAACAGCTGATCTATTACAAAATTAAATCGGCTGTCACGAGGGTCGCCTTTTCGATTTCAAAGCTATGTTCTTCTTTGCTTACAGGTAAATTTGATTCAAAGTCTACGCAGACATTCAATTTTTAACAGGAGTATCGATGGTTAAAATGGTGGCAGATATTCGCATCATTTCTATGGATTTACAATCCGATACAAAAAAAAGTCAATGGGAATATGCCTCAACTTTTAAAAAAAAAGGAGAAGAAGAAGAAGAAGAAGAAGAAGAAGAAGAAGAAGAAAGAGAAGAAGAAGGAAGAAGAAGTAGAAGACAAATTAATAAGGAGAAGATGAAGAAGATAGGAAGACCGAAGAGGAGGATTAATACAAAAAGAAGAAGAAAAA